TCACTCACTCCATCTATACCACGCCATTCCCACAATCAGCTGATTTATGTGTGAAGGCCCTAATGTTTCACAGGTGTCCATGTTACCTCTGCATAAATCATGAGTCTGGACAAGTTACCCAGCCATATGGAAAGAAATTCCCCTAGGAAGAACACCACTGTCTAATATGTGCTTAAATAAGGGTCATGAATTTGCCATGAAGAAATGTGGGAGAGATGGAGGTGATGGGAAGGGATTGAGGCTGTCACAGTTTCCTCGTGCAGCAGGGAGCTGCAGCCTTCTGCAGAACTGAGTGTTCCAGGCATGACTATAAAAGCTGATCTGCTTCGGATATAGCCCAGAAAGTGAAAAACAGTGTGGAGCCACTTGTCCTTCATCCTGTAAATGGGATGCAGAGCTGTAACAAGGACTGTGAGTCCCTCTTTTCCTGTGCAGGTGAACAAGCYCACACAGGCAATGCCTCTGTTCCTACAACCTCCTCCCTCTCCCTGCCTGTTTCCCTCAGCCTCCCTTCCCACTGCTGCTGAGGTGGGGACAGCCGGGAGCAGCCCTCTAGGCAGGCAAATGAATCCATGAGGAAGAAAAGAGGGGAGGAGCAGACCACAGCTCCCAGCCCCTCTCCCTGCTCATCACAGGCTGCTGGAGAGATCGAGTAGGGCTGACAACTCGCTTCATCTCTGGATTTAAGCACTTTGGATAGACTGGAGGTAGAGGCAGGACAGGTTTGATGCCCTCCTCCCACAGAATTTCCAACTGTCTGAATGYTATTCCATCAGTGTTTTTAAATTTGTGTTAACCCTGTAAAGGATAATGCTCAGTGCTGTTTTGTCCAGATATCCAAAATTACAAGCTCTTTCAAATCCTCAAAAAGTGAAAACCAAAGCATTTTCATTGTTTTTAAGCATTTCCGTGTTTCCTCCATATTCTGATCGGAAACAAAACAGTGTTTTCTTGTTTCAAGGAGGTGCAATAGTAACTGCAAGCCAAATATATGACCCAGGCGAGGTGTTTGAACAGCAGTTGAGCACAGCTCTCAGACTATAAACCTTTCATCCCTCACTCTCAAGCCTCTACTCTGTTTATGCCAAGCAGAATTTACTAGAGTAGCAGTTAGTAATGCTGGTGAAGGAAACTGCAGGCTGGGTGTGGGAACAGGCCTTCTGTCAGAGCACAGTTCTTATCTTCCCTCGATGCTTATGCTCCAGTCACGTCTTATCTGCTGTGAGATCACTGTCCCCCTGCCTGTCCCAGCACCTCTGCACTGCCACTGTCACTTCATTTGTCATCCAACCCACCAGTGTGCATTTCATGTCTTTTGCTTTACTATCACCTGATTCATTTAGATTTATATGCCACCTACTAGTAGTAAAGGAATAGTTTCCTCCCATGTGAGAGACAGAAATGTTATAGTTAATGGCTTAAAGAAGTTTTTAAAAGGACATTGCCTACYATGGCAAAATTGTATAAAGAAGCTGTGACCACCAAAGCCCTGCCTGATCACACCTCCTGACTGGAACTGGACTGTGAGTTAAGGAGAAGAATGTATCCACAAGGAAAGCCAAACCCAGCAGCTGTCCTGAAAATCAGCTCKGGCTGGGTTTGGGGTGGGGGAGACCACAGCCCAGACTCTTTGCTGAGGGCAGGTTCACACACACTCCCYCCAGACTGGGAGGGAGAAGGAGAATTTTTGGGGGTGTGGTGTAACCCCTRTTCAGAGTGAACACCCACCCTCCCCTACAAAAACTGGCCCAGTTGTTAAACCACCCCCCAGCCCTGGAAGGCAACATCCATGGGACATTCACATAAGATGCAGCTGAGAAGGGATCATAAACCATCAAAGACACCCAAAGTGCCCCCAGACTCATTCCTGAGGCCTTGCACCAGAGGACTGCATGTGATGCAAAGGGATGACACAGATCCAAAGTCTGTGGCAAGAGACTGTGAAACTTCCCCACCAGAGGAGGCAGCAGGGGATCCATTCCCTTGTACACCTGAACGTGCATCGATCCACTGAACTCTTGTGGGACCCTAAGAAGACCAGATGGAAAGGACCAACGTGATGCTGTCAGGATCCACAGAATGGTGGTATTTTCTACTTAACCTGTCACTCTCCTTCTCTCCTCCCACCCCTTTCCTATTTCTTTCTTTCTCTCTCTCTCTCTCCCCCTTTCTGCA